TTATGTAAGTTTTATAAAACGTAAAATATTTATTAATTTTTGTAGACAAGATATTACTATGTTTAAAAAGCATTTAAAATAATTTTCATTTACTTCGCGTGAACGGGTAATAATACAATAACATATATAATTGCAAGAACACGATACTCGTGCGATCCATTACTCGTAGTAAATTTCCAGCCTGTAAAACTTTAAAAAGTCTATGTCAGTCAGTGAATTTGTTCTCTTTTAATTTTATTTTAGTACTTTTGTATGGAGAATAATGGAAAGAATCGATGACCTCATTTTATGCAATTGCATTTAGAATAGAACTGTATAATTTTTTAATACATAAATCGATTATTTCTGTTATTACGTATAAAAATTTTACTTATTTTTTGTAAAAAAAAAAAACACGAAAGTATAAAAATGTTGAAGTAAAATCGTTGAAAATATTTGAATTTATGATTTTACTATACATATACAGGATAATATCTACTCTTCGTTAAATAATGGAGAAAAAAAATTCCAGGAGCACAATTTATTGATAATATTGATTAAATCTTGGGAATACATTCGGGAATCAATGTTTGGCCATTATTGTATCAATAGTGCTTCTGGGGAAATTTAAGATTTTTTAAAATTAAAATTAAGAGAGGAGTGACGTTTGTAATTAGTAAGTAAATTATCATATGTTCAATATATATTAAGATAATTTTATTGAAATTATCTAGAGTTAAAGAATTATTGAGATTCTCTTAACGGAGAAAGTTTTAGTAAACTTGTCTGAATAAGTTAAGAGTTAACAAGATATTAAAAAATTACCAAGTGCGTTGACCTGTACTCATATCGATCATCTCGAGTCGCTGTCGCGCGCGCGAATTAAGTATAATTTTTAATTTAGCCGATGAATAAAAACGCAGATTCAGATATAAATCAGAAAAAGAAGGAATCGTGGATGTAATAAAACTTCTAAACTTAATTCCAAGTAGCGGATACAATTATACAATTGTAAAATTAGATATGCTAATGAGAGTATTATATAAGTCAGTTTTAATTAATTGAAATTTAAACATATCGAGTACAGCAACGAACGGAAAAAGATAATGAGAAACATAAAGAAGTAGATATTATTTTTAAATAAATTATTGAAAGAAGCCTTCGTTAATGATAATTTAAAATTTATTATAGACTCCGAAATTGAATTTACGTTAAAATTAAATTAAATTTAAACGAGAATCTCGGTCTTAGATCTCAACTTGTTGAATGAATCGTTAAACATATCTTATACTGTTACTCTAATTCGAAGAATAAATATGTCTGAGAAAGATTCCTCATAACGACGCGACGTCGTCATCATCGTCGACGGGTAGACCGCACGAGGTCCGACGTTTCTACGCCGGTGGGCTGTTTTAGGCGGGCGACGCAACGGCTGTGCGCAAAAAGCGACGGCAGTCAAGTTCAAGGCCACTGACGTCTCCACCTCCTCCCCCCCCTCCCCCTCCCCTACTACCCTGACGTTCTGCGACTCCCGTCGCGGCCGCCGTCGCCTTCCACCGCCCCCGCCACCCACTCACCTATCACCGTCGTGATATACACACATTGGTGCGTCCGAACGCCAGTAACGTATCAAGTTGAGGCCGACGCGCAGGATCGAGTGATTTCTCCGGGCGATTCTCCGAGTGCGACGCGGCTTGCGTTTCGCTCAATCGATCTACCCCCCGTTCCCGCGAGGGAAAATTCAATTCGTCCGTACGCACCATGCCACTCGGCACCAGGGCTCGTAAATATCTGGAACACAGGTTCCAATAAACTACGCGATGTGCGAACTTTACGATCGAATAGAAAGGAAACAGGAAAGTTTTTTTTGTAAACATGGATCTAAAAATTGATATATTAAGAATATTTTTATTAAGTTGGTAGCTAATTTTAAAACACGCATTTTGCTGATGAATACAAAAATAGAAATAACTTATAGTTATTAATATAAATATTTTTTATAAACATGGACCTAGAAATTGTCCCTTGAAATATTAAGGATGTATTTGTTTATTTATTAGATTAACGAAGTTTGCGAGACACATTTTGTTAATAAACACACATATAAATAATATTAATTAATAATATTCAAAAAACGACGCTCAATTGAGTAAAATCAAATTTGTAATAGAATAGAGTTAAGAGCAACAACAAGTTCTTAATTACTACTATTTAATTATCCTTATACAATATAATACATTAAGAACAAACACAACACTTTGTTAGAAGAAACATTTCCTGTCGTTAGAATATAATTTTACTAACGGCAATGAGAATGACCTTCGAAATGTTTGTTTTTAATGTATACTGTAAGAGCAATTAAATAGCAATTGAAAACTTGCTGTTGCTCGTAACCCTTTTCTATTTAATATACAAAATTGAATATTAATTAATAAATTTCATATTTAATATAGAAATGATGAAAATTGCATAATCGTAAATACACATTTACACACGTGTACACACAAAAGAGAATTTATGTGACACTAACATAAAAAATACCTATATAAATATATTTATCTAGAGTCTAGGAAAATGTTTTGCGAGTGTCTGCTGCTTCCTCACTTCTCGGAAAGGGTGGAGCTTGAGGTAAAAATGAGAGAGAGAAAGAGAGAGGATATAAATCAATGTATATAGAGATACAAAAAAAGTCGCATCAAGTTGGCACGATAAAACGCGAGCCGTATCAAGGTGATATGAGAGCTGCAATGTTAATGACCGATTGTCCGTGACCATGATTTTTATCCAAAATGACATTGCATGCAATGTTTGCGAAAAAATGGTAACATCTGTGTTTTAGTTCGAAACAGTCGTTTTGTCTTATCAATAAATACGATAAGATGAAAATACCTCGGCATTGCCTAATAAAATGCAACTGCACGATATATTACTTCAGATTAAGAGCCATCATTATTTCACATAATACAGCATAATGTTATTGTGTACAGTGCAAACTTTGATGCAACACTGTAATAAAAATTAAATTAAAATAAAGCAAACAGTTATAAAATAAATGAGGAAATTTACAGACTTAAAAACTTTTCTGAAGTTACATAAAAGTACAATGTTATTGCATGTATATATTTTTTTAATAATATGATAATATTGTATAATATATAAACTTAGTTCTTTAAGAAATTAGCATAAAAACATTCCAGTAGCTTTTTATAGTATGATGTAATCATTTTTGAGTTTGACACATGTATACTGTGTATTGACTATGTTCAGCAGAAAAAGCAGCTTCGCAATTGTTACAAGATTCTTTATATGATTGTTTGTATATTTAGATTCAACAAAAGAAGAAACAATCGTACTAAAAAAATCTTACAAGTTGCAAAGCTGCTTTTTCTGCTAAATGCTATTGTTATTTTATGTATCATACTTCTCTGTGACATTTCTTTATCTGGTGCCTATAAATAAATCATTCTAAGAGGCCTGATTTTTCATTATCTAATTAACTTGTAATTTAGGCTTAACTTGATGACAATATAAAAATTGTATTTTTCTAGCTATGAATAATCACTTTAACACTAAACTTTAAAGGTAATATTTTAAAATTTATTTACTACAAAACTATCAGTTTAGTAATTAATTTGGTGAGAGATAGAAAAATACAATATTTACATTATTAAGAGTGAAGAGTTAAGCCTAACCATAAATTAATCAGCAAATGAAAAGTCGAACTTAAAGCGTGAGAAAGTACAGCCGACTGGACAATCTAAAATCTACATCTTCCGCCTTTTCTTGTCAATATAGCGTGATACAGTTCTTAAATACTTCCAAATAATCATACAAATTTGGTTGATAAAAAATTTAGAAACAAAAGTTGATATCAAATTATATTGTAGTCGCTAGAACAAGGAGACTAACAATCGATTTGATACTCATATTCTTTCGGTTGGCAACAGTCAGGAGTTAAACCGATGTAAATATAACAAAGTTGTATTTCGGTACTTTGTTGTATCTCTGATGTCCTTTCCTAAATTAACTCTAATCTCAGTTTAACTTACTTTCTTTCTAATTAGAAACTAAAATAAGATAAGAAGTAAATCCTTGAGATTAAAGCTAACTCTTATTAACATGATTGGGTCTGCCATTTCGTGTTCTGCCATTTCTTTTCTCAAAAAAATTAGGAGTATCAAGTAATTACATATAACATTTAATAATAATAATATATAATATACAATTTTTTTTTAAATACTGAACCTTATATACCTTATATAACCTTAAATACTTTCTAAAAATGTTAAAATAGTATGTAATAATCACTTAATAAATTTTATGTATTTATTACAATGATGAAAATTAATCCGAGAATGAATGACTTCAAGTGTAATAAAGGATCAGAAAATCATGGTGGTGAAATCACTAAGAATTTTTATATTCATAGAAATGGATGTGAGAGGTTTTTCGATATATCATTCAATAACTTTTTAATCAAATTAATAGTTTTTGTATCAAATAGATACATGTTTACATTTGGTAAATATTTATACTCAGTCCTTATATTCAAATAAATATTTATTAAAATTTAATATCTTTTTCATACTTTTTTGTTATTCTATTCGTAAATTTTGACATCGACAGTCGTACAATCGATTCTCGTATTTCGTTGAATTGCAAAACGCCTCTTCATTGATACTTTGACTGCCACATCAATATTTTTTTAGGCGAAAAACCTAACGTTTATTAAAAGTTTTTTTTTTCTTAGATATCCTCAGATTCAGGATGATAGTTCTTTAGGCTGTCCTACGTTTTTTTTTTTTTTTTCAATTCGATTCTTTGTTTTCCTCGCGAACCTCGCGAAAAATCGGGCCCGACGCATGTGCGTCGCATCGACGATACGCAGCTAACGCAGCGCAGCTGCGCGACCGTCCGGAGCCTCCGTCCCGCATCGCGCCGGTCCACCTCCGTGCATCGCTGCGCTGCGGATTCACTTAACGCCGTCCGATGTGTTTAGCGCCTTCAGTCGCGTACGGCGCGCGTTGCGTGAACGTCGTGGTTGTTATCGCCGTGTCCCCGTCATCATCCTCTTCGTTGTCGGTGCGCGCAGTGCGTGTTGTATTTTGTATTGCGCGGGCGACGCGCTCGCTCGCGCCGCGACGCGACGCGACGCGACGCGAGGACGTTTACGACGACGGGGCCGTCGATTCAGTCGGATGAGCGGTGCCGAACGTTAGTCCCAACTGGCGGCGAGAGAAGAGGTGCACGCGTGAGAAAACGGAGTCTGTGCGTGCATTTTTCGGTGTCGCGTGGGACGAGGACGAGGCCATGGACGCGTGGATGTATGATGTGGTAAGTGCTGTACGTGTTACGGTACCTAACGACTCTTTCCCTCTTTCTCTCTCTCCTTTTCTAAGTAAGTCTTGTGCGATCTCGTGGCTTTGTTTATGTGATGTGCATCTTGCGCAGAGTCGCAATCCCTTGCAGAAATCTCAAAACTCTCTAAATTTTTTGAAGTAGAATCTCACTCTGGAATAAAAATTCTGTCATTATTCTTTTTTGTCTTGAAAAAGAGTGGCAGAATTTTCAATCTTTAAAAGTGAAGTGATTTTATTCTTTAGAGTGAGATTGTGCTCCAAAAAATTTGGAAAGTAATGCTGGCGAATTTATTACTGAAGGACAGGAATTAATAAAGTAAAATAGAAACTTTAAGGACTCTTGAAAATAACACTAAGTTTTAAAAAGACAATTAATAATGAGAGTAAAATTTTGAATACTTAGAATTAATTAATTTCAATATTGGCTAATTTTAGATTTCTATAAATCTTACACTTTCAAAGTTTTTTTCATCTTCGATAACACAACGAATAACATATAGTAATAACCGCGGATTTGAATCTTTCTTTAAAAAGAAAACGGAACTCATTGCTTTGTTATTTCTTTTTTTTTTTGCTAGAAAACGTTCTGTACTTATCGACGCGATTGATTTCATAATTTTCTATTTTTTGACTCTGCAATTTCTTGCGCGATTTTCCTCATTCCATTTAAAAACGCAATTAAGTTTCATAAAGCTTTGCGATGGAATGTTCATTCAGGATCCTGTAAACAATATTTTGCACATAATAATATTTTTTAATAGATTCGAACATGTATTACCTAAGCCGAAGTCGTCTCGTGACGAAGTCAGCCGTTATGTTACACAATTATGTGTCGAGCTGTTAGATAATTCATCCCGCGTCTCCCGACTAATTTCCGTCGCGCTCACCAATTTCTTGGTCTCTCGGGGAATCCTCTGATAACGGAAAGCCGACTCGATGTCCAGCTTTCAAGGAAAATTGAGTAATCGGGGTATGTCTCTGCCGAGAGACAGGTGTGCGACACGAGAGAAGCCCGAAACCCACCCGCAGAGACTGGGGGATAATTGAAGTGTTTTGCGGCGCGTGCGAGCTGCTCCGAAAACACCGAGGAAAAAAAATTGTTTGTTTACACGAGCGCGCGATGGCTCCTTTCTCTCGGTTGTTGTACTTCGACGAACTGTCTTCGTATTGGGCGAAGTGAGTTTTTTCTCTCCCACTTCCTCGCCTTCTTGCTTTTTCGGTTCTTTGTTCGCTCGCTTCGCGCGAGATCGGTTGGCGTATCTGTGGTTCTTGACAAACGCGGTATGTATTGATTAATTGATGTAATCAACGTTGATTACATTAACTTTTCATCTGCAATTATTTTTTTACTCCCTCCATCTACAATCTGGATTTCATTTTTTTTTCATCCTAAATTAAAAAAAAAATTCAGAGTTACTTTTTTGCTAAAATATTTAAAATTTTGCTGGCTACAGATCTGAAAATAATTTTGTTGGAAACTCAAACTGGCTACTCTAGAATGTCAAATTTTTTGCAGCATTGCTCATCTATTTTTAGTTTCTAAATAATTACTTTGATAGTCCAACAAAATTATTTTCCGATCTCCAGTAAAATTTTGGATCTTTCAGCAAAATTATTCTTTCTATTACATTATCAAATAATTTTTTTAATTCAAATGTTAAAACTTTTATCTAATAAGAATTGAAATTTGAGGATGAAATGAGAGTGAAATTTCGCTTGTGCTCAAAAAAGATAGATTACAAGGTTAATTATGTAACGTAATGAGACTGGAAAGAAGATCGGCTCCAAATTGATTCAAGCGTTTGTAGCGGAAGAAGAAACATCTTATATTTGTGCGACAGTTCCACAATACACATAATAATCGTATGTGTGATAAAGAAAAGCAACTCGTTGCTGATACGCGTCTTTTCGGACGATAAGGAAAGACGGTGCAAAAGAATGCCCGATGTCATCTAGATCAATTACGTTGCTTACGTGAGTCGAGATTTATGATTGTTGACGACACGCACACTCGGGTACTTTCCTTCAGTAGAGCTAACAGTGAACAGTGAAGTGCATTACAGAAGCTGCCGAGTATGGACGTTAAAATTTTTGAAAGTTCCTTCTGAAACTAACCGTTTTCTTATCACTTTTAATCTTCCGTTTACAATCTGATGTTTCTTGGCACAAGCGAACTTCACTCTCAAATTTCTGTGAAATAAAGAAGGGCAGAGTTCGGTTCCATCTTCTAAAGTATCTTATTAATAGTGAAGTCTTACGTAATAGAGATGTTGGAAAATAATCCTTCATTTTTTTTATATTTTTTGAAAGCCAAGAACAGAAATAAAAAAATTGGATTGGACGGAGAGAGCAAAATGTGATCACAGATGAAGGATTAACAAAATTTCGTTATTTAACAACATGATTCGATTTACCTGCGGAAGTTCGAAGGGAAAAAAAATATTACTGTGAAAATATATCTGCGAGAGTGCAGGAGGAGATCAATTTAAAAAATATTCTGACTATTCAATTTTCTTTTACGAAGAGGAAAGGTACTTTCTTTTACATTTTTTATTTCGATATTACGTAATGCAGCGTGTCTTGAAACCACCGGCTGTTCTTTTTGAACACACAATTTTAGGACGCTTATATATCATCGTTCGATGCAAAAATACTGATGGCTTTTGAATTATCAACGAATAAAAAAAGACTGTTTCAATTAATACTATTTGAATTTCATGTTTTGTAAAGCGGAATCTTATCTGCTATCGACACTTTCTATACAAAGTTGTCAATACTACGTTTGACTTTAGAGACGTCGAATAATGAAGTCGTGAGCAGTGAAATCGAGAATCTGTCAATGACTATTTTCTTTTTAGCAGAATTATGATTTATTTAAAAAAAATAGATAACATACTATCTTGTGACTACGTAAATGGTTTTAGTGTTATGTCTATTTGTAATGTTCCACACAACGTGTAGAACTTAGAATGTTTGTTTAAAAAAACTCGAAAACAATTACTGAAAAAAATACTGAAAGCCTACAAGAAGAACTTGTAACTTATAATTTCAGTAATTTTTGCTTCTTAAAAAATTATTTACTATATATATTTACTTAGTTCAAAAAGTGATTTCTGAATAGTATAAAAAAATCTTATTTGTATATTTTATATATAATTACTTTTAAGCAACGTTACAAATTTCTCCAAATTTCTAAAATAGATTTTTAAACATTGGTTTTTTTAATAATTTTTACGATTTGAAAAAAGATATTGTTTTCTTACTTCAAAAGTGCACAACATAAAAAAATTAAGTTTTTTAAAAAACGGGAAAATCCATTTTTCAACTTAAGGCTCCTGAGTAATCACCATGCCTTTTATCACTTTTTACGATTATTTATTGATTGTCAGGAAGAATAAGTATATTTTTCGTCTATCTTTACAAATATTTTAAAGCAATCTCATCATTTTTTTTTATCCGAATTGTCTTTATCTATAAATGGCTCGTAATAAAAATTAACGTGTCATTTCTCGTTTCTGACGTCACGATTCAATATGGCTATGATGACTACTTAGGAATTTTATAACAGAAAATTATTAACTAGTCAAATATTGGCAAAAAAAATATATTCTTAGAAACATTATCAGATATCATTTTTATCTTTTTTTACAACTCTTGATAACCTACTTCTTTAAATTGTGATGATTTTAATATCCTACAAAATCATAACATCTGATATAATTCATCAAACATGACATAACTCAAAATATCACCAACAGTTATTGATCAGCTAAAATGATTAAATTTAAAATAAAATAATTTTTCCCTCAAATTTTTATCACTTCTTAACTCTGAATATTTTCTGTAAAAGACTCTTCTTTTATTTACAAAAACGACACAATTCAAAATATTTTTATAAAAGATATTTTTTTGAAAATCTTAAGAACAATAAATGCTTTTTAACAGACAGATTGTTAACCTCGTTAAACTCGTTCACTTTTAACAATTGATAGAGTAATCTTTATCTCACTCATTAGTAATAACTCGAAAATCACTTTTTTAGTTGTCCCTTGAAGTAAGAGAACGATGTGTTAGATTTTGGGGGGGGGGGGGACTTTAATATCAAATAAGCGCAAATTCAACATTTCTAAGACAGTTATATATAGAAATTTATTATTATTATAGACAGTTATATGTAGAAACTAATTTTATTTCTGTTTAACCGGTTAATAACTGTCACACATAAAAAAATTGGCGAAGGAAAACGCCAGTATATTCAGCAATTAAAAGTTTTTGCGAGATTGCGCGACATAGATAATATTTAATAGACTCAATTATGGTTCACACGTGCGTTGTTGCGAGCAGAATACATGATTACGAGTCTTTGACTTTTAGACCTTTTTTGAATTAGAATTTCTATTATTAGGCAAATCAATTCCTCCGAATGTATCGTCTCTGTCTAATTGTTTCTATCAATGTAGATTAACTTAATTGATTCAATTTATTTTTTTTTTAATCCTTATAATTAGAGAAAATAAAAAGTAAGTTAAACCGAAGTTAAAGTTAATCGATATTGATTGAAATAGACCTAAATCAGTTTTGCTTCCACAATCGACTGATATACTGTAAAAAATAAAATGTTAATTTTAACTAAGACATATAATGAAGACATGCAAAAATATTAAATTTAACACAAAAATGTTAATTTTAACATTTCACTGAATTAAAATAAAGTTGACATTTTATTTTTTACAGTGTATAGACCATGTGTGAAAAGTGCTTGAAAAGAGTAATATCATCGACAACTGTTATTACTGTTCGAGTCATTACTTCTCTCGTGATGAGCGATTACTCGACTTTTGAGAACAAGAACTCTCGACACAATTTCTCTTATTGTCAAATGACGAACACGCAATCGTGAATGGAATGCTCGATTCACAGTCGAACGCATCCAACGGGTTGACGATCCTTACGCAATTCCACGTGCGTGAAATG